GCACTGTAGTAGTTTTGGCACTTGTATACTACTATTTGAAAACAGCATAGTGATAGCTGGAATTTATTTTTCAGCAAAAGCATGCAGATGGCCTAAGACAAAGCTTCCAACAACACTGAATTATTGATATGAGAGCAGTGTGCATTTGATTTTTAAGTAGATAGGAACAGATTCCCTTTAAAATTTCAAGTACACTTTCTACTATTTGAATTATGAATATGATGAATAGAATCATCATTTACATTATGTTGCATAAGACAGAGACATATTGTTATGTTTTCAAGTACATCATAAATCTTTGGAAATGCTACATGTATGGAGTGGTAATGGTCATGGATAATGTATTTAGCACTGCTAAAGATTTCATTAGCAATACTGTACTGAAGGTTGTTTTCTAATGTACTTGTTCACAAAGCACTTGCCAGCCCTCTGCAGCCCAAACAAAATTAGCTGCAAAATAAATAATAAAATAAATACAAACGGAGCTGCTGCAAAAAAAAGAAATAATACATTAAACAAATACAATTTTATATATTATTGTAGTATGTAGTATGTAGTATTGTAGTATGCGATGATACCTTTCTTATTGGACTAACAAAATATATAAAAGACAAGCTTTCGAGAGTTAACCTCTCTTCTTCAGGTCAGAAGCAATACTAATCAACATGACAACCTTTACCACTTAAAGCAAGAGAAAGTTGTTAGGGAGGGGGGATGAGTGGGGTGTCATAAATGTTGGACCTGGGAGTAAAGAATGTATCCTGATAACTAGAACAAATAAACATAGGATGACCAATAAATCCTAAACAGATCAGGGATATACAACATACATGAATATTATTATGTTCTGTATATTCATAAAAGGTTCTGGTAGTGTGTAAGAAAACCAGAATCCACATTAAGTCCCTCCTTTATGGAATTGAAATGTAAAATAATTTTTATTTCAAATGTTTTTCTTTCATGAGAGTTTTTAAAATTCCCTTTCAGTACTTTAATATTGAGGTTTTGGATGGAGTGATCCTTCTGGGAGAAGTGATGTCCTACTGGGGTGCAATATTCATTTTCTTTGTGGTTCTTGATCGAGCTCCTGTGTAGGTTCATCCTGAGATGCAGCTTAAGTCCAGTTTCACCAATGTAACAACCTTTGTCACATGCTGAACACTGTATCATATAAACCACGTTAGCAGATGTACATGAGTATGAAATTTTTTGAATTTCCATAACCACAGTCCTGAAGGCCTGAAGGTCTTTGACATTGAATACCCCTGATCTGACATGATCAGGTCCCGCGAAACAGAACTCTGATCTATTTGTTTTTCTGGACCTGTCCAGAGCCAGGGGTAAACGGATGTAAACGGATGCCGTCTGTTTAGATCCAGCTGTCCATAGAATTACATCGGGCTTCTGATTAGAGCCACCTAAAAAACTGAAAGGCAGACTTGATCGGAATGTAAAGGGGCCTTAGAGAGATTTACTCTCAGTTCCTGTCCAGTGTCCAGGCAGGAAGTGAGGTTAACTATCAAAAACAAAACAGAAATGTTTTTGTTTAGTAAAGTGAGGGAATTTTTAAATCGGTGTCTGTCCCTGTTGTCATCTAACAAAGCCCCAGATAGCAGTAAAAACCTGACAGCAGTTCTTATCCTTTCCCACTCTATTCAAAACTAGAAAAGAGGATTTTCACTTGACATACACTTTAAGATATATATGTTTAGAAAAGTCAGTTGGTAAATAAAGAAAAAACTATCCTATGGTATATAATCATATTTTTAAAAATTGATTTACAATTTCTCTCCTGCAATGGTCTAAAGTTGGAAGTGGTGTACCCCAAGGTTCAAATTTGGGGCCATTACTTTGTAACCTATTTATAAATGATAACTGATTGATGAGAAAGCCTAGGTCTAATTGCAAGAGGTACTGGAACTTACTCTAAAATATATAAAGACTGCTGTCCTAACAACAAAAAACTATTAAAACAAAGATAAAAAGGTACTCAGTGCCAGTCAGTCGCTTGTTAAACTAATTTGGATGATTTAGCAATTCACAATTATGATAAATGATACAGGGTTTGAGTTTAAAAGTACCATTTCTGTGTTTGTAAATGGCACAAATCTGTGTGATGGTATATATTCCATTCACTGAACTCCTCTGCTTTCGAAGAACAAGGAATCAAGGAGGATTTTGTCACTTCTGGGTAATGAACTGTCATTCTGGGGCCACTGTGGCTGGGGGTGAAGCTAATCAAGCATGATCTGTGCTTTATTAGCTTCATTGGGCTTCAAAGGTGACATTAGGGGTCTAATAGAGCAGGGAGGAGAACGGCAAATGTACGTTTGCCGGTCTCCCTCCATGCTTCCAGCCGACACCGATATGCTGGTACCGGACCTATAAAGTCAACAGTTTACAATTGTAAACAGAGTCCCGGAGGCTATAGCCGAGGGGCTTGCTGCCAACAATGTATGAGATACGTGGTGACCAAGGTAGTTGCGCTAGGATATATGAAAAAATCAGAAACCAAAATACAGAAAAAATAGAAAAAGATATAATAATATCAAAAAATAATAATATCAAAAAATATGATCCAAATGATTATAATCCAGCTGCAGCAATATCTATCGAAGTGATCAATTGTGAACCAGTGTGCTGCGCTTGGTATTGTGATACGTGCTATATTTATACCACAAACGTTTGTGGTATAAATATAGCACGTATCACAATACCAAGCGCAGCACACTGGTTCACAATGTATGAGATACGTCAGTGGCAGCGAAAGGGTTAAAAGCTTTGCCTATGTACAATTTTGGGAACAACAGTTTTTCACTGTTTCACAGATGCACACAATTTTGAGGTTTGACATGTTTGGTATCTATTTATTTTAGTTTCAAAAAAGTTTATTGTCATTTTTCATAAGGTTCAAGTAATTGGTACATAAGCTCGAACATCAAGTGCATGACTGTTTAAATGTTACAGACAACAGTGTTTGTACATAACAAAAAGTTTGCTCTACGGACCCGACAACCCATGTCGGCCAATCAAAGTATATTCAAAGGAGGTATGAACCTCATCAGTCAGTGTTGTAACGTTGAGAACATGAGCAAACACTAAATCATAGAAAGAAAGGGAATAGAGGGCCAGAGGGGGGGATGGGAAACATTTGGGGTTGCGATGAGTAAGCCAGCCCGCCATTTAGTCGGTAGTAGTACGATGAGTATGATATAAATGAGGATACATTCACAGAGTCAATAGGCAGGTGTGTCAAAGATGGGTGGAAGAAAATGTTTTACCCAGGGTTCCCATATCTTCTCAAATTTCGGGATTTGGTCTGTTAGGCGCGCCGTAAGTTTCTCATTGGAGAAAATCCAGTGGATTTTGTTTTTGGAAGCTTGGAGAGAGAGCTTGTTGGTAAGCCATGAGCTGGCTATAGTGTGTTTAGCTGCTGAAAGGACGTGCAGTATCAATTTAAACTTCATGTAGGTGATGTTTGCAGGTTTTACATTAAGTAGTGCTGTTTGAGGTGTGGGGGGGACGTGCACCCCAGAAAGGGTGGAGAGCATTTTAAAAATTTTGAGCCAGAATGTTTGGGCAATAGGCCATGACCACCATATGTGGAGATATGTGCCGCTGTCAGGGCAACTACGAAAGCATGAGCCTGTACAACCCGGAAGGTAATATTGAGCCTGCGACGGAGTAGAGTAACAGCGGAGAAGTACTTTGTAGTTTGTCTCGAGTACTCTCACGCTTGTCTAGCTGGAGTTAGTAGAGATCCACACTTGGGACCATGTATCATTTGAAAGTTCTGTGTCCAAGTCTTTATGCCAGCGATCCATATATGAGTGGTGTAAAGTGTGGATTGAATGTAGGGAAGTTGTGTAAAGTAGTGAGATGACTCCTGTTGAGTGTGGGTCATGTTTACAGATTTTCTCAAAGGGAGAAAGGGACAGCAGGTTGCCATTCAGCTTGGCACTGGCTTGTATGAAGCTTTATCTATGTGCAAATATCTAAAGATTTCAGATGATGGAAGTGTATATCTAGTTCTGGGAAAGGCATAATCTTTGAGTTGGAAAACATTGAAAGGTAACGGGTTATTCCCTTATCTTTCCATTTGTGAAACACTGCTGGAGAATCAAATGCTGGTGAGAAGGCAGGGTGGTGGAAAAAGGAAAGCATGGGGAGATAGGAAGCCGCATGAGTATTTAGAAGCGTCCCAGATCCGGAGGGAGTGGCGGGGGATAGTGTTAGTGATAGTGGTCCTATCTTTAGATAGCATCCATACTAGGTTGTCTATTGAGTAGGGGTCGCAATCGAGGGCTTAAATCGACACCCAAAGTGGAACTTCGTCAGTGGCATGATATTTGGTTACTGTTGCCATTTGGGCGGCGACGTAATATTTCTGGAGGTTTGGTACGCCTAATCCACCAGAGCGCCTAGTTTGGCACATGATGTTATGCGCAATTCTGGGTCTTTTGTGGGACCAAATAAAGGTGGAAAGCTGCCTCTGGAATGCTCTGAGCTGATGAGAGGGAACCGGTGTGGGGAGGACCCGAAAAGGGTATTGTTGGTGACTATTTATTCAAAGCAACCTTACATTTAATATTTTACCCCCAAAAAATTGGGTATGTATTGTATTTCCAAATGCAAAAATGTATTTAAAAGCGTTCTTTATTGCAAATTGGGGTTTTATAAACGGTTGCTCTAATATTGTTTGACATAAAAATTGCAACTGCCACTATTTTATTATACCAGTGTCTTTTGCTTTCAGAAGATATATAATTTTGGGGGCTTTAAATCAATTTTCAGGCTAAAATGTGCTTTAAAAAATAATAAACAGCTCTGGCAGCGAAATAGTTAATAAAAAACCTGTATTTGTGATATACGCACCACATTTCTAATTATGCTTTTTTTTTTTTAAATAAAGGCAGCTAAATAGCATAAATTATAGTAAAAAAAAAAAAAAACAATTCAACAGTTTAACTTAATTTTCAAGGAACAAATGCATACATTACCTCCAAATAGAAAAAGCATTCCAGTTAATAATAGCAGCAGATAGGCTTTTGCTAGTATACTAACAAATCCAGTCATTCCTCCAAAAATCATCAGGATCAGACTAAGGGGCAGCAGAATTACAAGAGTTCCATGCATACCTGTATAAAAAAAATATGCCATTTATTATTGTAAGATAACATCTCAGTTCTTAAAAAGAGAAAAACACTTAATTAATAACATTTTAATTTGCCTACATCTGAGACTGCATAATTGAGTGGTGGAAAACTCAGTAACTTGCAGTACAAATTATGCTTTAAATGAATTAATGCTTCCAGAGTTTGGTAGCTCTGTAAGTACCTTGTATAATTGTATTATTTCCCTATTTGCATTTTGTTCCTAATTGTAATTACACTTACTGTGAAAGTAAAAGTGAGAAATTGATAATTAATATGCATGTTGTTTGCTAACTGTTATTTAGTTAAATGAAAAACTTTTGCAAGAAATTCTGTGAAAGGGGATTTACCACAGCATTTTTAGATCTTACTGCTAGCTTTAGGCAGAAAGGATGAATGCCCTTTATATGAAAATGTGTCTATCTTTAAACTCATCTTAAAGTGACACTGAACTCAGGAGTTAAATCTTAAAAATGCATTCAAGTACCTCAACTATTAGCAAAAATGTTGCTTATTTGTATATCACTGTAGATCTTCAGATCCTTTCAGAATTCATGCTGATACTGTCCTTCCTTCTGGAGGGTGGCCACTCTTGTTCCCCATGATCCCTGTGCGTGTTGTACAGTAGCCACCATAACCTGTGATTATACTCCATCAGGAGGGTGAGCTTGGAGCGGCGGCTGCTTTACAACACACACAGGAACCATGGGGAACAAAAGTAGCCACTTTCCAGAAGGAATGAAAGTGTCAGCATGAATTCAGAGATGATTTGAGGATCTACAGATGAGTGATACATAAATAAGCTCCATTTGTGTTAATAGTTAGAGTACTTGAATGCATTTGTAAGATTTAGCGCCTGAGTCTTGCGTCAATTTAAATGTGTGTATTATGCTTACCTAGGATTTGATGAACGATTAAAAGTATCTACCACTCAAAATGTAAAAATAAACAAGGATCTACCCCTTGGATAACCAGTATATCCTGCTCCCCTTTGTCTATAATCTTGTGATCCCGAAACTCACCTGCTGAAGCTGTTGCAGATTCTTGCTACCTCTTCGGCATATAAAAAAAGCCTGTTCTGTTTCCCATTGTCACCAATCACTTTCTGTTCTGTCTTGAAAGTGTTAACCTGATTAATGATGCAAGATGTCCAGAGAAAAATGACACAGCACAGGCCTCAGGAAGCATGTTACTACTGTCTTTCTTCTGATCTACAGAAGAATACACATAACTCAGGTTAAGGCAAATTAGTTAAACTTTCTGCAAGTTAGTTGCAGTGTTTACTAAAGCTCACTGAGGCTAGGTTCAGACACCAGCGACACCCGGGACACGCGATCATGTGCTAGTACACACAGTGGTTGCCGCGCGTTCCCATTGATTTCAATGGGGTTACATCCACGCGGCACTCGCTAAAAAAGGTACCGTTTTTGCGACACCCGACGCACGGATTTTTTGTGTTCAATTGCATGGGTTCAATTGAAATGGTGTCGGGAAACCACGCGATCCGCCTGTGGCACCTCCAGCGCGATCGGCTGTGGTGGGCGACTCCGTGATCGCGCAACAATCAGCATGCTTTGTGCACTCAATGTTTTCAATTGTTGCCCAGAACTGCTGTTTTACTACTGGCCTATTGCAATCTGCATACTAATACGATAATGCGTAGGGAACAAGTAGGTGACCTTTTTATTACATGGGCAACAAGTAGTGAGTTGTAAAAACATGGGGACAACAAATGGCCATTCATTACAATGCACCATCTTTATTGCAATATATACCATCATGTTTACAGCTCATGGCCCACTTTCAAAGGCCATGTTTTTGCTCAAGAACAGGTCCAGGATAGTGGAAAAGAGCGCCCTAACCCTCAGAAGCCACTTAAAGCCCATTGCACATAGGCGTCTCTACAGGGGGGCAAGGGGGGGCAATTGCCTATCTCTGCGTTACATTGCTGTCATCTGCACTCTGCGTTACATTGCTGTCATCTGCACTCTGCGTTATAACTGACCTCTGTCCCAATACTAAAAAACTCTGTCCCAATACTTAGGTGTCTTGGGTCTGGCTTGGGACCTTGCGGCAGCCCTCTGGGGAGCCACACAATGCCTGCTTACAGCGCTTCTGCCACCCACACATCTCCCCTTAGTAAGACCCTCCCCACCCCTCCTGACAAGCTCTGCCCAATACATTAGGCCAGAACCGCAGAGTAGAGCAGCAGCACAGGGTATGTGGCAAATGTATATACTATTATTCTGCATTGCTCTATGTTTTGTTGGGATTTGTAGTCCTCTATAGCTAATGGTATTCTGCTTTTCTGTATAATGTATTGCTGCGGTTGGTAGTCCTCTATCGCTATAGGTGATTATTTACACAGCCCTGGTGTTTACTGAAATTGAAAAGCTTTTGAGAGTTTTTCCTCTCTTTCTCAAGTCTGAAGCAATACCTGAGGAAGAAAGAAAAACTCTTGAAAGCTCGTCTTCTAAGTATTAGGTTAGTACAATAAAAAGGTATCACCGCATACCGCATTACTCTCGTATTTTGTAATCTTATTTATATATACTTCTTTAGTTATTTTCAGCGGTATGATTTAGTGGTGAAAATTATTA